TTTAACATTAAAGAATAGATAGTTCTTAACACTCAAAGCATAGGTACGTTTCATCAATTTGCACATAATAATAAGTTTAAATAACAGTGAAATCGAGTCTCCAGTTTACTGCATAATCTTTAAATTAAATTACTTAATTTGGCAGTACTTTTTTACATAATTATTTAAAGGAAGGTGTCTAGAGTATACTAGGTACGCCATCTCCCGTCACACCGTGGAAGCTCTTGAAGTGAGAACTAACTTTCGAGACCTAAGCGGTGGATTTGTTACGGCCTCGTTTTCAACAAACTGTAATATCGATAAAACCAAGTGAAACCATTAAAATGATGCAAATCTTTTGTTTGATCAAAGTAGAGCATGGTAAACTATTACGAGAACATTTTAATTTAAAGTATAGTTAAATAAACATTTTACGGACGTTTTAATAGATTTTTTTGAAGCTAAATCCAGAATACAATCAATTTACACGGTTTCGACGAACATTTTTTAAAATCTTTCTTAGGATTCCAGAATCACTAAACTCAAATGTAATATTAAACTAGTTTAATTAATATAAAGGAGTACCTAATAATTGATAAGTTCGTAGTGTTTTAAATGCATTGGATTGTTTTTACCAACTCGTTCGGTCATATTGTGTCCACTGCTAACTTTACGCCCGCCATCGTTTCAACAATGTCGCATTTGACGCCGTAAAATTATGAAGTTCATTGTACAACGTCAACTAATTAATAGCCATGACTACGTCAAACAGTTTTATTGCGGCAATCATCTGCAAACTCTAATCTGGATAAAGGTGGGCACATAACTATAAAATGCGTCGCTGTACAGGGACCGCTCGCCCGGGCGGTTTGATTGGTCCCGAATTATTAGTCGCTATTTGTCTATGTTTATGGTTATTTTATGTGTACCGTCGGGTTTATTGCGCATTCAATTGCCGTAGTGACGGGTTTGATTAGGCGGAGTCGTGGTTACGTTACGTTCTGTTTGTCATTGAGAATAGTTACTTTTTATTGGCGTCGTTGATATCGCAAAGCGCGATGCTTTTTTCGTCGCTTTTAAAGGTCGTCTGTAGGCTACTGCGGACGGGTACGCTTTCCTGTTTATTTGTTCTTAATGAGATATGAGGCTTTTTAGTCAATTTTTCCAATCGTCGCGTAGTTTTGAACAATAAGTTTCAATCTAATATTGTTGTAACCTTTAGAGATGAGTTAGGTTCGAAGTTGAGTTGATCTTTGTTTTAAACGAATTTCGTAATTGCAGAATTTATGAAATAATTTAAATAATAATTTCATACATTCTGCAATTAAGAATACTTATCAAAATAACTTAATCTTTTTTAATAATGATTCATGGTCGAGTTATCCACAGTTCCCCAAATTAGAGATAGATAATTCATTATATTAGTACCGGTGGTAGGGCCACGCGGCAGCCTCGGCTGTTGCACGAATGGGCAGGCACGCCCGGGTAAGTACCACGACCTCACAGAAGACCGGCGTAAAGTATAATACTTTCGCGTTTTGTCTGGTGAGTGAGGTAGCCGGAGCCCAATTTTCAAAAGGTTGTCAGCGCATCTGGAACCCTCGGGTGTAGCAGATATCCATGGGCGGCGATATTCACTTAACATCAGGTGAACCGTCGGTTCGCTTAGCAACATAAAAAAGATTTTTCACATAAAAAAGATACTTTTCAAATTGAAAACTGGCAGCAGCTTATCACTCTTTCCACCGCGGCATCTTTTATTTAACAAAATATATTTTTAAATACTTGTTCTATTTTAATGTATGATCTATTATGTAGCATTTTTATCTTTCTCATATCGATGTGACCAGTCGACTGAATTAGTATGGCATCCCTTTTTTAAACTTGATACACATATACTATGTTCTCGATAGCCCCCGATAAACATAAATTATTATAATGGTATAAGCGACGTAAAATAAAAATATATATAGAAATTAGAATCTAAGCTAGTACCATTCGATTAGTAACAATTACGTACAACATTTATTTATTTATTCATACTTTATTGCAATTACCTTATAAAACAATTACAAAGGACGAACTTAATGCCTTGTGGCATTCTTTCCCAGTCAACTAAATTAAAGGGTATGGTTATAAATCGTTGGAAGTACAATCATTTCAATAAATTATTTGGTCATAAAATAATATTTTTTTTTAGGTTTGGAACAACCATGATAGGTGATCCAGTCTGGATTTGAATCTTTAAGTTAACGTCAAAAATCCATATGATCAATGGGTCTTCTGTTTTTGTGGCACACATGTGGCGCGACGATGTTTTCCCATTACGTAAAAATTCAAAGCACTATTCGATGGCTCTTAAGAAACTTATGTTGAAAAATGCCAAAGGAGTTTAAAAATTACATATTATTATTTTAGTAATCTAAAAATCGGACAATAAATACTTTCTATAAAATAAAATATCCTTGAGATGTTCTTATATAAAGTTTTCGACTTACGATAGTAATACATACGATAGCTAGCCATCGCATATATTAGGGCATATTTGAAACTTCAGATTACATAGGTTGCCAAACATGAAACATTTAATTTTAACGGGTTCGGAATCATTACAATATGATGATGTGAGTCATAACACAACCTTGATAAAACTTGGAAATCATTTGCTACGACTGCTGAGTAAGAATGTACCTTGAGTTCTAAGAACTTGTTTTTTTTTTTGTTGTTTTTTTTTTTAAATAAAGAAGAATTTAACTATTAATTTTAGTCCAATATAACAGTAGCAATGCTCCGTCAAATCATCCTTAAATGCCTAGATTAAGTTTTAGAAGCTCCGTTTATCAAAGAGATGTTTCGATGAGTTCATTAATTAAACTTCCCTTTTAATTTATTTAAATTAAGGGTTCCAAGCGTAGAGGGTTCTGTATCTAACGTCGCACTTAAAAGTCGAAAAAAGCGGTTCTTTTATTAGCCTTTAAGCATTGTTTAAGAGTTAAGAGCTGTGGGGTGGGACCCTCGTCGAATATTCCAGTTTCACTCTCCGGAGCGTTATCAACTTTTTCCACATTTTGTTCTTTCCTCTTTTTTCATATCGTGATCTAAACGTTGATCCTGTTTTTCTTTTATTTTGTAATTCATTAGATTCCTTACTTGTTGCTTAGAGTTACTGCTGCATTTATAATGCTGTTCTCTTCTTTGCAATTGGTGAAAAGGATGGTGTAAGGATCTCTGGCGGGGCGGTTGGCTTTAGGATTATTCAATAACAATTGGGTCGATTAAAAGCTACGCTTGGTTGCTTAAATAAAAATCGCGCCATTGAAATAAAGATTTAATTACAATCGTTACATAATATTACTCATAATAATAATTAATAGTAATTACATATTCTATAAATATCTATATAGAACATTTATTATTAAGCGAATGTATTCGATTTGGTCACATCGTCAAACGCGTCGTTGTCATTTCCTGTCTATGACCAGCCTCTGAAATGTTGCGGCAAACGGCAGGTACGCAGGCCTACGGCCGCGCCCGGGGTGATATACAAAACGAATCGCTAAACGGAACACACCACAACTAGCACGTGAAACCTTTATTGCTACGTAGACAGCTTATTTGATAATGAATAATAAATTACCTTAAAAAATCTACCACGCGTCTGTTTTGTATAAAGGAGAGTAGCGTTGTAATATTAGAAACGTTTACGGTCGCCGCCGACCGCTAGCGGACGGGGATCGAGGGTCCTTAGACCAAGGGCCAACCACGAATCTCGTTGCTGCGTAAAACAGGTTTGCCCCCGGGCACTAATGTACACCGCGCCACGTAAGGGCAAACTGACGACGCTCGAAAACGAAACATCCATCGACGTAGCTAATGACGCTTAACAAGTACGCAATTATAATAAATCTATATGTGACGTTTAATTGCATCGTCAAATCGAATCAAGTCAAATAGCCAATCGTGACTGATTGTGCCATGGATACGCATCCTCTATGTACGCGATACGTCCATCGATTTGCGAAAAGAATAGTTATCCCGAATATATATTATTTACATGTATCCCTAATAATACTTTTAGAAACGATATTTATAATTTTCAATTTTCCAACCGTGGCGCGATCGAATAGCCGCGCGGGCTGCGCAAATAATACACTTCGTCAACTTTGTACACGTCTCGTGAAACTATAAAGAAAATCTACAGAAAAAACTCCCTTTACCTTTACCTTTATGTACAGGGCAGCAGAAATCCGAACCGAAAGTCGCACGGTCCATCTTTCTGTTTGCCGACAAAAATCAACTCATGGCTGGTGTTACTCTTAAATGTTTAATGCTGATTGCAGTGTGTGTGAAACTTATTTAACCATTGACTACATTGTTATTGTACACTTATTCCTACAAAAACGCTAAGTATTGAGTGTGCCGAGAAACCTTTGTTACTAAAAACAACGTCTGGAAGAACATATAGAAGGGAAAACGTAATATATTATAAAAACTCCTTCGCGGAACCAGATATTTACTATAATTCACTAAATCCGATAACTAATATCGCTTCTCACGAACGTTCTAATTGCGCATTTCATGTATCTATTTTCTTTTATAAATAATTTGGATAATAATTCCATAATATTCTTATATCTATAAAAATACTGAGCAACGTTGATTTCATACAATGATTTTAAGTACTAAGGACAACCGACGATGTTAAAATCACATGTAAACAATAAAAAATAATAATAAGGACAATTTAACAAAATACTTTATACAATATAGAAAAATCAATAATTTCAGTTTATTTCCTAGTAATTGTTTTGCGATTTAAAAAAAAAAACATCGTATCGTATTATATATCTATCGAACAAATTAATAAAAATTTACATCGAATTTACAAATAAATTCTCAATTCGGCGAGAGATCCCCCCGCTAACAATTTGCGGGGTTGGCTGCACAGACGAACGGAGACACATTGCCAACAGTGAAAATTCGATAGGCCCTACGTGGTGACGGGCAGGCGGTGACCCCTATTGCACGTGCTTTACCTGGAACAAACGAAAGTGATCATGTTAACACACTCACTGACATACGAACCCACTATATCTACGCCCGTCTATTTACGAAGGCAGAGCATCCCGAGATAAGGTCTCCTCTATAAAGAATAGCGGTATTTAAATTATCGACAGAGAAAAAAAGGGTTCTATCGATAGCTGTTCCGATCCTATCTCGGCGTCGCCGGGGCCAGCCCTCCGCCGCGTTCACACATAACGGCCGAAAAAGAGGACCGCCAACAAAAAAGAAGCACCACCGAACCAATCGAGACGAGGTGACGAAACGTTCAGTCCCATTATCTGTGAATTTATTAACGAATCGCCCGGACCGGAAAACCGAAATGTGAAAGAAATAAAAATTCGACCTCGCCTGCGGTCATCTAAGCTTTGTGCGGCGTCAATGAAAAAAGAAGTCGAACAGGTTGTCCCGCCCGGAGCGCGACTGAATGAAACGGGCAAGGAGCGGAGGATCAACAGATAAGAGGAGAGATTAGGCCGCTGGAAAAAAGTAAAGCGGCCTTAGTGTTGTGAATGGAGAGGCCCCATTGAGGGCTCGCCCACGCGCGTTCTGCGCGTTATCAGGCTGAGGGGTCCAGGGCTGCCGTGCGTCCTCACTTCAGTGCCTCCTCGCAACAATGAGCATTGTTCCACTCGTAAATTGGAGTTTTTTGTCTTAACAACGGCCCCGAGCCCCGCATTATTCAAATTGCCACGAGTTGAATGGAATTAGGAATAGGCGCGCCCGGATTACAACGAGACCACTGGTTTCCCGTCACCGTTTTAATGATCGATCATAGACTCCTTGGTGATTTTGCTACTTTTTATTTTGTGCCTTGACATGTTTTTTATCTCGATTCTGAGACTGCCGTTAAAGGATAGTAACCACTTTTTCCTTAATCAACGACCCCCTCCTTACTCTGTGTCCGCTATACGTATTCCATCGGTTTAAAATTCAGTTAATGGAGCGGAGCGGAGGATACAGATATTTTATACAAATAAAGAATCATTAACACCACAAAATGGAAATAAATCGTTGGAAGGAACGAGGGCCCGATTTAGTAGCGATATTATTTGGCCGAATAAAAACGGCACAGGTATGTTACTTAAGCAGAAAACAAGGACTGTCGAATCGATTCGTTCTTTTTTCGGCCCCTTTAAAGGAATGCCGCGATAAGGAGTTATATTCGCGTCAAGGAATCCGAGGGGCAAAAAGGCGTGAAAACGAAAATAATACAAAAGGTTATAGTAGATGTGAATTTGTGAGCGTTTGGCTAAAACAGAATTCTTGGCGCAACCGCTCTGTGCGGCGGCGTCCTCGACGCGATTTATTGTAATGAGACCTGGATGCCGCTGCCCCTTCTGAGAAATCCCTCGAGGGCTCTTAGAAAAATGCGCCAAAGTGACCCGGAGTGAGAATGAATAGAATTCGTCCTCGCACGCCACCCGATTACCAGGCTTCCTATATAAATCGCTCCTGGAGATATTTCGCGATAGTCATATTTTAGAAATAATCTGGCAGAGTTATTTTTATTTTTCAGAAAGTAAATTTAATTGATCTGAATTACAATTGAAGGCTTTTGGAAATATTCGCGCGATGAAATGTATCAATTTCTTGGTTGGGTGCCCCCAATAAACATCCCGATTTAATTTTGGATTGGGCCCCATTTGGATTCGAGTTTATTTCGAGCTTAATTTATTTCCCAACTTTATCTCGACTTCGTGTCGGTAGGGCTTGCACTGCGGAATCAACGTGCGAAAGCTTCACTTAATTTTTCACAGAATTAGCAGAAATTTAGATTTATTACATAAGAATTATAGAGATTGATAGTGCGTTACATTGAGGGACTTGTAAAAAAGTAGAGAGAGGCGAGAGCCCAGAGTTTCGCCGCGACGAGATCTAATTTGGGCAGGTCAGCCTCGCACGTGGGTGTGTGGTGCGCGTCCCGCGTGACACTGACAAATGACGCAAGATTGCAATCTCGCCGCCCCCGCGCCACCTCGCTCGCCCTTCCGCCTCGCCTCCATTGTTTTCAATTACTGACATGACACCCCGCGAGGGCCCGCGCCACCAAGCCACAACTCTGTTTATGGCTTCCCCGATATCTTTACTACGATCATCCATTTACGGCCGCGTCCCTCATTTGCATCAAGTCCCGGAGCGAGCGCTCAGCATCATCAATTTGAATCAATCAGTAACTCACCGATGGCAGTGCGCGGACCGCTTTCACACGGCTGGCACGAAACCGTCCGAGTAGTGTGGGGAGCTGGAATGGGAAACATTCACTCTTTTCACGCTCTGTTGTTTCTTTGGTTGCGGCGGCACATATACTTTGCGAGGAGACCTTAATCGAGACGGACCGGTTGCGAGACGTTTAGAGGAGATATTAACCTTTTATAAAACGGCTTGAAGGCGGCCGAGCTCTCGTGGTGCTGGTTAGGCTGGTGATTGTTGGCGTGGTGGGGGTTGTGATAGGAGTCGCGCTGCGGCGATTGCTGGTGGCGGGGGAAGCAGTAGCCGGAGGCGCCACCGCTGCCAAGCGGGTTCGCGACGCTGGGCACCTTCATGTTGGGTGGCGTCTGCGGCGGCGTGTCTGTCTGCACGTCGGGGAAGGCGGCCGGGTGCACGCACGGGTGCTGCCCGTACTGGGCGGGAAAGCCGCCGTAGCGCGCGTAAGCCCCACTGGCTGGACTCGCGGCGGCGGTAGCGGGCAATGCAAACCCGTTGCCGGAGTCAGCGGGCGCGGCCCGTTCGGGGCCGGCGGCGTACGCGTGCTGCGGCCACGGCTGGGCGGCCGGCGGGGGCGTCTTGCACGCAGCCGTGTCCGCCAGCGACCAGATCTTCGGCTTGGACGGCGGTATCGGCACCCCGCAGTCGGAGCCGCCCCGCTTCGACTCCTCCTTGATTCCGTAGCCGAGCAGCTGGTGGTGCATGCCCTGCAGCAGCTCGTCCCCCTTCCGCTCCTCATCTGTAAAGATCACCCGTTCACTGGTCACACTCAATGTTCGACGGCCGCGCGTCGCGTCGCATTCCAAGCTGATCATTGGCGGCGCGGCCCACGCTAGCGTGGCGACGATAAAAGTCGGCTTAAATCGTCCATTTGCCGATATCGATTCGTGCATTGTGCCGGCGTGACCGTTACACGGGGGACGTAAGTTTCGGCTCGTAAGAGTGCCAAATCCCGGGGCCCCTGCGGGGAAGTCGTGTGAAAATACGTTCGTCGCGCATTGACCCATTCGTTAAGTGGTTATCCGATTAGCGAAGTGAAAATACCACTTTGGGGCGCGGCACCCCCGCCGCGAGCGTTGCGATCCCTTTCGCATTTAAGCCGAGCATTTATTTCGCATTTCCCGGCGCGCCCGCGGCACCCACCGCGCCGCCGCGACCCACGCAATTAATGGTCAACCTCTTTGCAACTTTTTTTAGCTCTTTTTCTCCGACAAACGTCGCACTCGACACAAGTGCCTCGACGATTTGCGATTTAACTCTCGCGCGAATTGAATAAAAACCTTTCGTTAATACAAACACGATTATATTACGTCTTAATACCGGATTAAATCCCTCTTTATCGCTACTGGCTATTTATTTCACCGTTTTTGAGGGAGAAATTGAAATTATTACAGTAATAAAGTAAAGCTTACAGAGCCTTTGTGCCCGACAGCAAAAAAAACCGTTGTTATTGTGCAATTACAAAAAAATGTTTATTGGGCAAAATTTTATAAGGCCCTAAGTATTATCATAATGCCATTTTCCGTTGTAAAGTGGGTTTCCGAGGGGGTCGGGGCGCCTAATGAAATTCGGAGGCGGGAGGCGCGAGCGGTCGACTTCATTCTCTTTATTCCATTTAATGCTGACTGCTCCTAGCTTTTAAGAGGGGTTATCCGCGTTGCCCTCCGCTAGGGATAAACAGGGATGCCACTGATACTCGGCATGAAGATATTTATCCGGCAAATTGTTTTAATTTTCATTGTATTAATGTAATAAAGGCCCGCAACGGCGCAGATAAGAGGTAATTCGGCGACGCCTAAATGTATTATTTGAACGTTACATTCGATTACCCCGTTACGGTAATCCTTTCGCTAATTTATGTATGCCTTTTGTTGTTATAGTTCGTTGTGTGCATTTTTAGCTCAGTGTTAGAATATTAACGAATTTCCGGGCTAATTAAACTTGAGTCCAGGTATCCCCTTTCTTTATCAACTCCTTTAAAGTCAAAAGGAAAGAGATACAGTATTTTGCACTTATACAGTAAATTTTATCGATCCGCGTTCAACAAAAATTATAAATAGGTTTTACTCGTGAATTGAACAGTGGTACTGAAGACAAACATTTGAAACACTCGTATTTGTAGGGACGTATGGGATTGATAGATTCATCTCGTCCGCTAGCGCGACCGTTGCGATGCGGTGGAAATTGCACCGAGCGGGTTTTCCCCTTTAGTCACAGAGGCCGGGGGCGAAGTGGCGCATAGCAAAACACGTCTTTGCCTCGAGGGGGCGCCCTTACGCCCCTAAGGCCCTCTCCGGCGGCGCAGCGTGCACTCCGCACGAGGTCACTCCGATTTATTACTCCCGGACGGAACACGCTTGTTTACTTCACTCCCGCACTCGCATTAACGCGCGCCGGATTAATATTTTGTTTGCGACGCGCGCACTGACGAAATTAACATTTATAGTTGAGGGTCCGGCGCGTGGTTTTATTCATGCGGCTTAGCGCGGGAAGTCCCGGCGCGGTCGATGCCGGGCGCAGGGTCGGCGTGAGAATGCCCCTACGCCGGGCTTTGTGCGACGCGCACCCATAATGATGTATCGCGCGTTTACAACATCGACGTTTCAGTTCGGCGAATGTTTGCGAGCGGCCTTAATGCAACGCTTTGTTTATGGAGGATTATGAGGCCTGTGCGAGAGTGTACGTCTCGTCATCGCCGCGTGTATGTGAATCGACGGGGTAGGTTTACGTGTGAGAGTTAAATAAACTCATTAAGGGGAGGAAAGCAGTTACTCTATCTTTTTTTAAGACAATGGCTTGTAACACTTTGGACTGTTTTCTTGTGGTATTATGACGATATTCGAGAATAATAGAGCCGTGATAACACATTTTCCGGGTGCTCGCATTTAGTTCAACATATGCAAGCCACCTGAGTTCGTTCCCCGGTGCCGGCACCAATGAAATTGTTAATTTTTATGCTTTTAGTTCAACATAATTATACAAGCTTAGGAGTTCGATCCCCGGTGCCGGTACCAATGCAACTGAAAATATTTAGATGTTGTCATTTCACGTGGTCAGCGGTGAAGGGAAACGTCCACAGTGCGGTCACGTGGTGAACTAAGCCTTAATGCCGTGTACAGAGGAGGCCACTGTTTGCCCTACAGTGGGAATAAGTCCCACAGCTGGGCAAACAGGAGCCTCCTGTTAGTTTTATTACATAAGAAATAATCAATCCTTTTCTTTTTAGACAATAATCATCGGATGAAAGTTCCGCCTGAACGGCTAGTAAACCGATTCTTTACTATATTTAAAAAAAACGCTTGTTTGTTTTCATTACATAACAAAATGAACGTATTTTTTTTATTTTCACTAAGTATTTTATTTTTTAAAAAAACAATAACGTAACAACACGTGTCACTTCTTATGACTTTTTTAAATGTCGGCACCATAAATGGTAACTTACGAACATATTAATTTTTATGTAAAACTATTGACATTTCATAAGAACGCGCAAGCGTCTATGTGAATAAATATATTTTTGATTTTGATTTTGATTTTGGCATTATTTTGCGTGTCAACAGAGTTAATGGGAGGATAGAAGTAGCTTGTCCAAAAATAATAACTTTTTAGAATTAGATAATGTCAAATGCTAATGATATTTTGTATTGCGGCATGTTGATGTTGTTAATAATATTGCAAACTGATTTTATCTTGGATCCCGTAAGTTTATAACTCGCGTATTTAATACCTCTTATTTAACTGAATTTTAATTTTACACAGTTTTACTTTCGAGTATTACACGCAAATAATACTAATCATTTTAATTGCGTTTTTTCTCGACGATCGTTAGGATAATGATATTAGAAGAAGAAGATGAAGAAACCGTGTTGGCCCCGAATGGAGAAGAAAAGTAATTCAATAATTAAGATATTTAAATGAATTAATACAAATCGAAATTATTTAAATGACACTTCCTTTTATATTTACTTTATACGTGTTTCTCTTCATGTGTATATTTTTATCAGTCCCGAAATTTCGATGCTTCATTTTGAATCAGGGGAGTATAAATAGGAAACTTGTAGAGGGAGCGAGGGAATCTAATCCCACATTGAATGTTAGGGGTTGCCGTTTAGTGATTTTTTGTCACCGATGAGTGGGGACACTGAGTGCACATTGAATTAAGCGTCTGGAAATTGCCATATTCCTTCATTTTTATTGAGCTATTTTCCACGTTGTGTTTTCGATTAAGTCTAGAATAGGAAAGATTAATTATGCACGCGAAAGATTATTCTGCTGACGCTATCGGCAATGTTAACATAAAACAGACATGATTGAATGTCTAGCGAGTTTCCCGACAGCAGTTTTGGTTCGACATGGCGTTAATTCACCGACACTTCCAATGTCAAACGCCGGCGGTGGCGGCACGCTCGCGTGAGATTCGCAACTTTGTCGGCGAATTTCCGCGACCCCAGTTTTCGCCACTCGAGATCGCGCATTAAGTACACTCCTATCCCGACAATAGCCGGCTTCATTAGCCGACGTACGCTACGCGTTAGGCGTGACGCCCTCCGCACTTCCATTAGCCCCGTGAAGTTCGCAATGAAAACACTCGCGGCCGACTGTACTCATCGCAACAATGCCCACTCGTAATTTATGTCCGCGACAACCGCGACGAAAGCCCTCGCGGGCGGTCTCCCACGCGGCGACTGCGTTTTATTGCGGCCGGGCCGATTTTTCTGACGCCGATAAATCTACAGCGTAGCGGATGTTCGCCGTGAGAAGTGACCGCGTGAAACGGCTACGGCATGCGTCGAGCGGACGCCTGTGCCGAATTGGGGGGCGTCATTAGTCCCCCCCCCCCCCCCCTGGAAACCGTACTTACTTCGCAACGTTTCCACCGGCGGGCCTCGTAAAGGGAACGAGCCTTTGGCGGGAGCACGAAGCTGGGCAGATCGTCGTACAAGCTTGACGTAGCCCCTCGTAGCGACGGACGGAAGAATTGCCATACGAAATTTGGTCCCGGGCGCCGCCCACTTTACTACGAATAGGAAATCCGGGAGCGAGGAGCGGTTACGCACAGTTACACGCCTGAGACCGACCCCCTCCCGTCCCACGAGCGTCCCCCCCCCCCTCCCCCAACCCCGCACCCTCCGTCCTCCTCACCGGTCGCCGCACACCCTCCGGCTCAGGCGGGCTACGCCAATTCACTCGGCGATTTATACACCGACAAAATTAAAGCAATTTTAAACGTTTAACAACGCCGGCTCAATACGTTGGCGGTTACACGAAAACAACAACAACATCCACTAAAATTACATTGACCGAAATGGCATTTCGCATTCGCTGCTGCAATGGTAATCAAACACGGCACACAACACAACATGAGAGGAATTGGAATGCAATTCGCCGGGCAAGGAGACAACATTAGCGCTGAATCGGTTGGGACGCTGGACAACGGTCAAGGGTCAATGGCGCCGCCCCGCGTGGTCTGCTGGGCGGCGGATTGGCCGGTGGCCGTTGCAGCAGTGGCACACAACGCACCTTTGTGTGGCTTGATCTTGTCCTCCTGCTCGTCTTTGTCCTTATCCTCATCCGACAGCATGGTGTCGTCGTCCTCGTCGGTCTTATTCTTCGGCTCCCAGGTCATCTTGTTCTCCTTCTTGAGGCGGCGACGGGCGTTCGCGAACCACGTGGACACCTGCGTCAGGGTCATCTTCGTGATGATGGCGAGCATTATCTTCTCGCCCTTGGTCGGGTAGGGGTTCTTCTTGTGCTCATTCAGCCAGGCCTTGAGCGTGGCGGTCGACTCGCGGGTAGCGTTCTTCCGCCTGGCTGCCAAATCGTACCCGGCGCCATATCTGCCAACAAATACACGTTTATGCATACACCTAATTGGACAAAGGTGTAACGCTTCCGGCCGTAATGCATTCGCATAGGAGTCGCGGATCGCTAACGGAGCCCAATCCTCAGCCGTGTCTCGACGTTGTAATGCCAAAAGTTTTAATTGTCAATTGAGGGGTTTCTGATCATTCTAATAGTGGTTAATCAATTTAGCTTTGACGTATAAACTCCATTCGATCGTCGAATGGATAGATGCGGGAAACATGGATATCGACCCGCGTGGTCGTTAGTCACGCGTTTGCCGTTGAGCGTTCAAATAGGGTTTTGCATTCGTAACAGATAGGCGTTCCGTTCGAGGCAATCTATATGTAGTTGATGGCAGCGAAATAAAGCGCCGTTCGGTTCGGCTTTTAGGGCGCCCCATCCCATTTGAATGCTCGTTTTCAGCGTAATTGTGGCGGAGTGTTCCGCTTCCCCTCGCGACGTACCTGACTTCGATTTCGGCGACACGACAAAGGCGCGGTCTGAGGGGCCCAATAAATAGGCCGCCCGCGTAGCGATAGTTAAAAACGCTCCCCGTGAGGCGGTGCTCGAGCAAATTGCGCCTTCTCACCGTAGCGCCGTAGCGATTTGGAATTGACGGATTTTACGCGAATTTCGCAGTCATCTTTATCGAACAATGTTTTCGCTTTGTGACTATGTAAAGCTTAATCGAGTACGGAACTGAAACGCTGACGTTACCGCGGCTGGGTTTTAAAGATATTGCGCAACCGTATAGATTTGAACAAGATCTTTCAGGCTTTTAGGCTTATATCATGTGACATTTTAAAATAACACTACCCAGATAATAGTTGTTAGTACATTTTATATTGCACAGTTTATAAATATTTATAAACTGTGCAATATGTAATTAATATTCATTAAAATTCGTGATAGATCATTGTCCGGGCGATTTTAAGTGCTGTCTTATTACGTGCTCTGCGGTGAAGGAAAACATCGTGAGGAAACCTGCATACTTTCAAAATAATAAAAAAATGTTTCAAAGATATGTTAAGTCCGCCAAATCGCAGTAGGGGACCGCGTGGTGTGTCCTAATGTGCCCTAATACCCTCTGTACAGAAGTCTTTGCGCAGCAGTGGCAGTGCCGTTATTGTACCTTATTTTTTTACTTATTCATTTAATTTGAAACAATCTCTTGTGAAAAATAATTAGTTTAAATATATTCAAACAGTTTATTCAGTAACAGATTCTAAGTAAAGTAAAGTAAAATACACTTTCAGTAAAGTTTAAAGTGAAATATAGATTCTACCTCAGTACTATCATATAACTTACAGCGCTGTTCTGCATAAATAGGAAATATTGATAACTTTTTTTATTGTTGATATACCTAAATAAGTAATTCCCTAAAACGAAGCTAAAGCTTTCTTTGTAACTCTTCTGTGTATTCTTTAACCTACGTTTTAGTTATCGATACAGATAAGCGATTGCGCTGACCATTAAACGTGCCGAGGCGCCGAGAGCTGGTCGCCAAATACCTTTACCTTAACGAGCGCCGATTATTTTAAGCGCCCGCGCGAAATTTTAAATTTCGAAGGCGCGTTGTCGGCACCAGAGGGCGGGCCGCTGCACGCGCCTGCAAGATTGCATAGGGCGGTGCAGCGCAGGCGTGTTGGCGTGGGCGTAGTGTTGCGATCGATTGCGACGCCATCTTGCCGGACGCACCGGTATTACAAGTTGCACGGCCGACCGCCACGCGCGGCGCATTTTGCGGTTTGCGTCCCGAACTCGGCTTGTATGGAACCTGGACCCACGCTTACGTAGTTTTTCGCATTGTTGCAGAGCCATGTACAGCTGTGACGAATATTTTTCTCCGTTAATATTCGAACCGCGATTATCTCGGATTATTAATATTTATTATTTTTTTTAAAGATTTTTACATTTTAATTTCTGTGTAAAGTAAGTGATAACTTATGAGGAGATTAGAGTGGGAAAATTTTAAAATTGTTTATAAATGTAAATTTTACCAACTACCTTCTTTGGTTGTATCTAAAACCGTTCCATTGCCTAAAAACTTAACAAAGGCGCAAATTGCAAATAAAATCAGATTTTTAGCTAAATTCTTTTGATACAGATGATACGCAAAGCGTTGTTAAACTGGAGTTTACACCATGACAAGATAGAACCACTGAAACCAAACCGCATTAGTTTTATACGAATAAGCTCTTGAAAATCTGTTGCGGTTAACGTAGGCAGCGGACGTCGAAAGCTTCAGCGCTTTAACGCTACATCGTCTCCGTTATGTTCGGAATGCCCGTTTGGAGCTAAGCGCTTAAGCTGCTGTACGAGATGTTTCTTCTGTAGCTTTGCTAATTAATTAAGACGGTTCTCTTACACGTCGTGTTCACCGGAGTTGATGAAACAGTTGAGTAACTTAAAATGATATTTGAATAAGGGTACTTATTCGAAATTTTTACTTTTGAAATATTTCATTTTTGGTTCGTATAACATTTACAATGAAGAAGTCGAATGAAGAGTTTCAAATCAAAATAACACGATGGTGTTTTTCTTTTTTGTTTAGTTATTTTATATTCATATCATGAAAAATAAAGACGTTTCGATTGTTTACTTCATTATTAACTTATCTATATTTATTAATTAATATTAATTATACCCCACTTATAAAATAAAAAAAGTGTGGTTTAAATTTAGTTCTTAATTTTTTTCTAATACACTCATCGAATGAATGTAAGTATTATAATAAGTATTATTTTCATAAATCTATCGTTATGTTATTATCGACAATCTGAATTAATAAATAATTAAAAAAAGGCATTGCTGGTATGAGTTTGCAAACACACATACAGCTCAATATTCTAAAATATTTTTTAATTGTTAAATATAAACTTAATAAGTTCCCCCGTTGGTAATTATTGCGCCCTACTCTTAAAAAGCTCCGTACAATATCTCGCACCAACGGAAATACACTATGCTTGTTAATTTGGGAATGAAAAAGAAACGTTGTCGCATACCGACGTGCTTTATTTTTTGCGTGCGTGTGTGTGCGCGCGTGCGCGTGCTTGTGTGCGTGCATTCAACAAATGGGTGGATTAATTCGTTTTGACATTTCCTGCATTCGATAATTCGAAATATAAAAAACCCTCATGACTTCTGAACGCTTTATTTTAACGGCCGCATTATAAATTTCAAGTAACACACATTCCCTCTTAGGCGGGTGACATTATGACGTTACGCTATGAACGTTCATGGAGGAGGTGTGTTTTGTGTAAATAGAAATAAATTAGGTCGGAATTAGTTTGGGGACGATACTTTGAGTTGTGAAATATGTTATTTTCGAAATGTCCCTTTTAATTATATCCATATATTTAAACGCTTATAATAATTTAACTCTCCACGAGATGTTGATAGCGTTTTGGATGCAACATTGAAGAAATTTTGACTCGGTTAGATGTTCCGCTCGTCATGCTTATTAAATAAAAGTTTCGCTGATTAAATAAAATGAAGAAACCTTAGGAAATTGGGCTTCATAAATGTATAGGTATAATTTTTTTTTATAAATGTTACTTTTTATGATAGTTTCAGTAGATAACTATAATCCAATAAAACCGTCTTTTCCATTCATCGTATCGTCCTTATTTATTAAACGTCAAGTATTCCACCACCTACTTAACGATAAATTACAATAATGTTAAATTGAAATTATTTTTAATCGTAGTTTAAGTTATTTTTGAATAAAAAGTGTTTAATTATTTGAAACAACGTATTGGTGCATACAAATTTATAACATCCATCAGTACCTACAGCCAACAGTTTTGGTATTTGGTATATAGGTACTATCTATTAGCCTCTATTGTTCTATTGTTATTAATGAAAATTTTAAGCTAATTTCCTTGTATCGCGTTATTATTAAAAATAAAATCAAAAGAACGTATTGGTACCACATGTCTAAATTTCGGTAATTGATTGCTGTTGTTAAAGAGCTTGATTGCAGTTTAAACGGTGGTAGGGCCACGGGGCAGGAGACTCGACTGTTGCACGAATGGGCGGGCCCGTCCGTTTAAGTACCACCACCTCACAGAAGACCAGCGTAAAGTGGAAGTATGACAAATACTTTCGCGTTTCGTCTGATGAGTGAGGTAGCCGGAGCCCAATTTTCAAAAGGTTGTCAACGCATCTGTAACCCTCAGGTATTGCAGATATCCATGGGCGGCGGTATTCACTTACCATCAGGTGCACCGTCTGCTCTTTTGGCAACTTTTCACATAAAAAAAGCTTTTCACAACTTTTATGATTTGATAACCTTATCCTCCAAATAGTCACGCTCCGAAGAAGTTGTAATATTAAAAACTGTACGATGAGAACGTTTTAACGAACGCACTTATGCCAACAATTCTGAGTTAAAACTCCGTCGAAGTATTTATTAGCTGACACCCTCCGAAATAGCGTTTCCCTAAAGCGGCATTGCTCTCCGGCGTCCAACTGTATTGCTGTGCCTACATTTATGTATAAGTAATGTAAATTGATGTGATCCAAGGCAGTCCACAGTCAACGCTGGCAATAAACAGTCGCGCGTAGATAATATGTAGTTTTATTAGCCAACCAACGGCGCACAATGCTTCGCCTCGAACATATCGCGTCTAACATAGTGCCGAGGTCCGTCGGGGGCGTGTGCTTGCGCGAAAAAGCGGCCCCGTCGCGCACTACGCGCAGTTAACGCCTTCCAATGTAAACAGCGCCCTCGATTTTCCGACGCTGTCTCGAACAGTGACGTTCGTGCCGTCGCCCAGAATCGTTCTTCACTCGTTTGGATGAATTTAAATGTAGAACGAATCGACAATTTCAAACGCACCGTTTGGGTTCCTTTAGATTAGGACTTCTGCTCGTTATTAGCAACGATAGAGGTATTTCATTTAACCTGACTTTCTCTCGGCGCCGACAGCGAAACATGCGCTCGATAAAGACAATCAAATAAAGCTTTCTAAGTCGACCAATATGCAAATGAACTATGAAATACTCGTGACTATGAATACAAGGCCTGTGGAATAATATTTTTAATGAGAAATGCCTGTTGAATTAACACAAACACACGTAACTATATTTAGAGAGGCACGCAGATATGCCTATATAAACTATTCGCGTCGCGCCTCTGATGGAGCGTTGCGATCATCGAGATAAATCCTCACGGACGTAAAAAAATTAACGCCACGCGCTATTTCCGTGCGTTATTAACGCGAGTGCCATTAATAATGCTGAACGGGAATAGAGAATAGGGAAATAGGCGGTTGGACACGTCGCCTGCGGTTGGGCGGGCGCTGCGAGCCACATATTTGAGAGGGAGCGTGTTCGATTCGTGGCAACGGAGGTTTACGACCTGGCCGCTTGGGGGAACTGCGGCTTCTACGCTGCCATCCCCCCCCCCCCTCACTCCTCCCGCATACTGGCTCTATGTACCCGCGCACATAAGCAACGCAGCCTCCCCGCAGAGGGCACGCCGCGAGCTAGAAGCATTCGGACGCGTAATAGCAACGGCTGCGGCGAACCGACGCACCTAAGGACGTGTACGTCCGACGTCCACTAATCCATAATTACGCCCCGACATCAATTACCTAGACCGCTTAGCCACCACTCGGGCGGGTTAATGCCGCTTCTCGGCGTTAATCAACGCGAAGGATTTATTGCGACGCTCGCGTCGGATGATGCATTAATCCCGCGGGTTCCGCTCGCACGAGACGCGGGCGCGTCGTGTACGCGACGCTAAACGCGCGCCCGGTGGCGTCGAGTCGCGTCGCCCCGTCTCGTTCGATTTGAAACTCAACTGCCCGAAACGTCGACGCAAATAAAGAACGCTTTTTCAAATAAAGAAGTGTCGCGCCGGGCTTGGGGGCGCCGTAACTCCCCGCGTGTTTTGATGTCAACGGTGCGCCACAAGTGCGCCCTAGCCACTTTCCTCCAATTCCGAGAGTTGGAGATAGCGGGCGATTTTCCATCGTCGCGCGGCGGGCGTGGCAGATTGCGGGCCTTCGAATAATATGCGTTCGGTTTTCGGCCGTTCCCTCGCCTCGCTACTTTTTTTGGCGCGGCTGACTTATTTCGACAGCCTTTGTCTCCTGCGAAGAGTATACAACATTCGCGCAAGGTGTGTTTCGCGTCCGCGAAGCGTGTTTTACGTTTCACAGCCGAATCGTTAGCTAAGCACGGCCTTCGTACGCATGGCGGGCGATAAATTACGTTTCAGGTGTGCGTCCCCCGCATAGCAAACAATTGTGCGGGAGCGTCGGAGAGGCGATATATCACGGTGTATTTCCGTTCGGGCCCCGGCTCCGGCCCTTTTTTACGCGTAAAAACTAATGTCGCCTCTAATTATTTTTAGATTACAACGCACCGCCCGCTATATATTAAGTCGAGCGCAGCCGAATTGTCAGCATAACTCCGCTTTGATGTACCACGATTTGTTTTTATTTCCAGCCGCTTCTAGAGTGATTCATTGGGTGGATAAATTTTTCGTGCACGCCACGCGACGCGAACGATCCGTGTGTCCAGATGATGCGCTTTTATGACGGACCTAGAGCCGGCGGTCGACGGGTGCGGTCGCTCCTGAAAGGCGAAGGCTCCGCGGCGCGTTGAGTGTCGCGTTTACGAAGAAAAACCCGGAGGACGGGCACGGCTCATCCATCCCTGTCGCTCGGGGCCCGCGGCCGCACGCGCGAGAGGGACGGAGTCCGCGAAGAAAAACCGGGAGTGGTTACGGGGTCATTTGTCCCCCGCGGCGGGCACGCACTCCCGAGCGCAGGGACAGTTGCGTGCGCGTACAGCGGGCGGGTGTTAATTCGAAAATAATTATAAATACCTCATTAAACGAATCGACGTATTGTATGAATGATTTACGCGCCTAATTGAAACTGCCAGTTTTTGTTGGATTGGCCCGCAGTCCGACAAACCTGTACCCTCGAAAGCAAAAGTTACCTAAACGCGATAAAAAGTTTTTATTCGTGAAGGCGTTTTGTCACTTATTGATTCCTTTAATGATAAACGTGCTGGTGACGAGTCATTTCAGAGTGTTGGTATTTTGGCGTTAACCCACTATTATAACTACACAACTATAATCTACTACTATAAAGTTAAACAAACTATCAGGACCGAACGACAAACTGTCATTACTCAACAACAAACAACCTCTTAAGAACACACAACACAGCTAAACTTAGGATTAATAATCTACGGAAAATCAAAATTTATAGGGATGGATCTAGATTGCTACTATTTAGCTAATACTAAGTGCAAGGTGCAAATGTCAGAAATTGCCTTTTTGTTAGTTAAAATCAACAGTGATTGAAAAGTTGAAGATATCCGAATTTAAGTGCTAACTAGTCTTTAATTAATCCTATACAATAATTAACTTTGCTAGTCGTCGTGATCCACGAAGCATGTACATGATAATGGTTGTCATTAAAGTAACAACCCCGTCAACAAATGAGAGGATTTCAATGTGACAATTTTCCATTAGTCCGTTGCAACGCAAAAATTTCCCTGTAACCTTCCACATAAAGTTTCCACATAAAGAAGAATAAAATAAACAAAAGTACTGCAGAAACGGACAAAAATAATGTTTAATTCAGATAAAAATACAGCTTGAAACTATATTTATAACAACGCCTTCTTTCGTTCAGCGTTAAACAAATTAATATTTACGAATTCGACCGAGAGCAAAACATGCTTGTTACACTTTAAAAGTTTTAAAAAGGAATCGCTGCGGCGATATGTTTTTACGAAACGCCCAAATTCTGCAAATTTATTTCCATCCCGCAAATAAAGTACATCGTGGCGTTGAATTACAGAAAATTCTTCTCTTTTCATATTGTATTTAAATATTTTCTTAGCCTTTCCTAACATACGTGGCTCTAGATAAAAATCCATTATAATACCGACATATCAATTACAATATCTTATAGATAAAGTAAAATGTATAATAACATTTAATAAAAATACGTGTTATTTCACATACAAAAGTTAACTCTAAAACATTTATTGGAGTGGACTATTTGTACCTAAAATCCATTAAATAAACCCGAGATTTTTTTTAAATCTTATAATCCTGATAACCGTATCTTATTTTCCTTTATTCCTATAAGTTCAATAGGTTTCACCCGATTATTTTTCCTCTCTCTATATTGTAAAAAAACTTTAGAGGCTAATTATATATTATGAACTTATATTATATAGGATGAACCTATAACTTTAAATTTAAAGAACCTAAAAGTATTTACAATCAGCTAAAACTATAATTTACTGATCAGAAACAAAAGAGGATGATTAATAAGAGTAACGCGTCGATACACGGCCGGGGACGCCCCGTTAACGGGAGCGCGCGTCAAAACAGCGAAAAAGCCGACACATGCGCAAAGTAGGTACATCAATCATTTCAGTCAATGCGTATCGCGCAGTAGCTCCTTTCGCGTTGCCATCTATCAGAGTGGGATAAGGCAATGTCCGGACGGGGTGTTGTGTTTATCCGTGCACGGCGCTGGCGTTATCTAAAGTGGCGCGAGCTGCGGACCTCTGGGCCCCTGGGACTTACCCGTAAGCGGCGAGCGTCGGGTCGTACGGGTAGTAGCCGCCCGAAGGCTGCAGCCCCGCCGAGGTCCAGGCCGACATCTCGCCCCCGCCCTCCTTCAAAGCGTACGGGTTGCTCTGGAACACAACACCGGCCGCTTAGTCTCCGAATACATTACAACTAGTCGATCCGTGCGAAACTCTCAACGGATAGTATTATAAACAAACAAGTATTCATCGATAAAAGGAATCTTTTGGAGTCTACTCAACACACATTGTTTATAATATACTTAACACACATAGATATATTTAAACGAAAGATCTTTACGAGAACATTAACTTTATTCTACTTTGTCTCTGTTTTTATTAATAGCGGCAATCATAAAATTTTAAACGGGTACTTAAATAATTAAAATTTGATGAAGAATCGCCTCTTAAATTTGATGTAGAGATTATGAATGTAATTATTCAAGAGCACATTTATAGCCAATCTTGATAAGATGCTTTAGCAATGACCATTGGATGTGGAAGTACATTCTTGATGATTCGGCCAACCATCGTTTAAAGACAGGCTATGATGATGTTGATGTTCTCAATGTAGAAATATATTTTCTATTCGTAAAATATATTAATCCAGTTGGACTCGCTATCTGCGTGAAAAATGGGAGCGAAGCGAATTGCATTTTAAATATTAGTGTGATTTGCGATCACGATCTGATGCGATGTCAACATTTGAGATAATTCGATAAAACCCGTGCAAACAGAGCGAAACGTCCCCGCGATGCAAAATCCGATTTGGCGCCGGAGCGACACGAGGTTTCAGTGTCGGCCCCGTACACACGGGCAGGCCTCCGCTGGGAATCATGTCCCCCTGGCTATTTGAGATATTTTGTTTCAACGTTAAAAGTCTACAGAAACTGTAGCGAGAGCTCACAGTGCACGCGTACCACCGCACTAGTCATTCTATGGAAACTCTGTGGTTCAGACGATCTGTCGAATATATCGCCTCAAACTATACCAATATATTACATTGGTGCAATAACATAAAAAAATCTCTTTGCGTTTGTTACACCGGAGCTAACCAAATGCAGAAAACCGGTCGCAATCTTGAACACTATGCTCTATACGGACGTTGAAAAATATTGTATTCCTGCTAATGATTTCTGTAAAATTGAAATCATGCGAATATATGTTATACATTATACAACCAAATCTTGGCAACGTATGAGTGTCCATTGCCGTCGAAACATCACGAGTGACAGAAAATGTAATAGGATAAACAACGATCGACATATCTCGAGATCTGCACGAGTGCGTCCTTCAGCATAATACGGGCTTAAGAGGATATATCACGACATAATTCCTCTCAGTCAATCGGCCTAACAAATGCGCCGGCTCAAATTTAATTAAAGCCGACTTAATAAAAGGGAATAAACACACGAACAACAATAAAACTCCCAAGTGTACTGGCTGACATATCACTGGAGCATTTGCATAATGTATGGCTACAGAGGGGAAAACTATTAAGGCTTACGGGGCCCCGATGCGTGATAGTAGTTTAACAGTGAACCAGTGAGAGGGTGAGGTCGACCCTCATCGCCAAGTTATCCGCATACATTAGGAGCGACTAAATTAAAAGTGCGAATGATTCCGCACCTCGGGACAGCGACCCCAGCTTCTCTCCCCCGACGCGTTTGGCGCAGACTCTGATAATAAAACGGAGTGCATTATGATACATATGGAGCCCTGGTTGTGACGCGATAACTGAATAGAGGTGTAGGGCTTATTTGTCCCCCTCTCGGTGCATAAGTAAGAAACGACGCAAGTCCATTGTCTGCGCAATTTCCTTATCGTCGCGTTCTGATTGTTTTTTAAGTGTTCTTTACGAGGAGCGCGCGCGTTCTTGCGATGAAACTGCTCTTAGCTGATTTTTAAGCATTTAGAGAAAGCACGTGATAACGCGTACACCGATCTTTTTACAGTAATCTTAGAAAGATGTCACGTCGTGCTTATAAACCTTTTTTCTTTATGTAAGTGGTGGAAAATAGATAGAGAAGGAGATGGTTGTATAGTTTCGGTGGACCTATGAAGAATTAATAATAGTAACTATGTCGTCGTGTTACATGCAATAAGTCAGTTGTATACCACCACTTTACAGGAGGGACAAAAATATGTTACATTGTTTATCCGTCTTAGTCAATTTTCTTTAATTGAAAATCGGATACCAAATAGCGGTATGTTGTTTTTTCTTTGATTACTTAAACGTCAAAAAGCAAAATTGGTTTTTTGACATTAGACCTATTGTATATATCGCGACGATATACGAGTATAGTGTCAGAGTTTCATAGGTGTTCGCATATAAGGTGTAGGTGGAAATGATGGATAGTTACATACTTTATACATAATAATTTAAGATATATCAAGAATAATAAATAATACTTAAAACTGTCTTTTATATAAAGATGCCACTAATTTGAGCGGCACGCTGTAAACGGATCCCTTTAGTTACATACTACAAACTCGACATACGGGAAAAGATGAGTACGCAAATAGTTGAAGCTAAATTTATCGATAAGGAATATTAAAATTACAGATTTAAATACCAAAATCCCTGGCAACCACAGCTTTATGTCACATCAGTAAGATTAATGTATACTTTAATCACTCTATTAGTAAACCTTTTCTTAACCTTAGACGTAAAAGTTAAAAGCATAAAGCCAAGCAAATTAATTTCAAACGTGAATATACCATAAGGAAGAAGAATATTATAAAAGCATTAGGTACATTTATTGTAGTGTCATGTGTACATGTTACTACAGTAAATGTACGCAACACCTTAATTCGTAGTAAACAGTTAAGCTTTATAACCTCACAGCATTCAGTGAACGGTTGTTTAAAGGCAAAGTTGTAGAGTATACTATCTTTGCATACTAAACAAAAGTTAAATGACCTTTAGCTTAAGAACTTTTTACTGGATTGTACTCGGTAAGTAAAAGAGCTTGTATAGGACGGGGGCAGAGGAGGGAGGGGAGGGGAGGGAGCTCCGCAGAAACTAGTCCCTCCAACCACGAACCCCACTTACCCACAACTCATCCTGGTTAATAACGAACGAACTCCGCTCAAAGTCTAGAGCACATAATCTTAAACCTTTATGGGAATGACTGTACACAACGGTACGTTTACCAGAGTTGTATTTATTGTGTTGCTGTTTAACTTATCATTTTAACATTCACTATGAACCGAGACATATGAATAACATAGTACACGCATCTCGTCAGTGAAATTCCTTATGTGCTATTGTTTGTTTTAAGTGGAAATTAATTAGGTTAATAATGACATCGATACATGTTATATGTAAACATTATGTTCTATATTAAATCACCGAAAGAAAATTCGTTTTCATGATCCTTAATGTCTAACTTGTGTATTAACGACCTAAACCTTAAGTCTAACAGTCTTTACACCACTCCAAGTTGTTGTATCCCAACACGATATTGTTGACAAATTCTTAGTTTTTGCGTGAATGAGAGTGAACCACAGAAATTTGAAATAGAGGCCTGATCTCAAATCCCGCGTCCAAGTCGCGGAAATCGACAATAAATATAATTTTGAAAAAAAAACCTACTTAAAACAGGAAACTAATAAAACATTGTCCACGGCTATAACATTTGAGGATTGCCCTCGATTTCTCTGGGATGCCGTCATCAGATCTGGGTTTCCTTATCATCACCACCCTTGGGATATCTCCTTTCCAACAAAAAAAGAATCATCAATATCGGTTCTTAAATGACGAAGTTATCCCCGAACACACATAAAAAAAAATAAAAATATATACGGTCGAATTGAGAAACCTCCTCCATTTTTAAGTTGTTTCAAGGGTGAGCTCGGAGCAGTTTAGGGGCAGCTGAGAAATGAGCCTTCCGTAGCAAGCCGTTAGCATCATTAATATCAATAGTTGCACTGGGCCCTTCCGTGCAATCCGGCCGGTGGTAATCCGTTGAAAAATTCGTCGCGACAACTCTTTCGCTCGGGGTGCGCGATAAGAATGCGCGCTGCCCGATCTCGGAGGCGTTAGGTGCGGGCGTCCTAACTATGAGCGATGACTGGCGCGCCCCTAGAATTAGGGGTTGCGGCCGGCCACGTGCCTCACTTCGCTTTAATGATCACTCCGATTGCCAGAATCCATGTGAGTTCGCACTCGAACCTCGCAACAGTGCGTGATGATTTATCAAATGAAAGCGCCCCTTCATGATGCACTCGTATGTTTGCTATTTCGTTGAGAACGCCGATTCTTGGAATGAGAACGTCCATTTCATTAAATGCGGTCAGAATTAGTTTTTGTTTTCACGGCAATATGTTTCGGCTTTCCGATATGTTAGGATTATCAGCGAAACTTTTTACAGTACTAATAGTTTATGTACACACTTCATTAATTTTGTGTCAATATTCCATTTGATTTTATGGTAAACATATTTAAATAGGTTTCTTAAATGCAAGCACGTCAATGGAAACCGTTTACGAATTAGTCAGTTAATTAAAAAAATTAACACGGATAAAATTTTAGAAGCACCACGTAACAGGATCTCAAATTTAGTTTTAAGGATAGAGAAAGATGACCAATCATATTAAGAGCACCGCTTACGACCTTCATAATCGTCACAAAAACATTAATCAACATTTTTACTAATTCATGGAGCGCCATCAATAAAAAGGAAGTTTATAGCCGATTTCGGTTTCACTAATTAGTCAGGCATTTTTTATTAAGCACTTTAATAAGGGGGCCATTAAAGGGTTTTCTTTGTTTGTTTTTAAGACCTGTTAACGGAGGCCTTAAAGTCGCCGCGGTGTTTATGCCGGGACCGTTATTCCAAGTTAACTAAGCGATAAAGCTCATTTATTAACCCTTAAAAATCTGATCCGGCCCAATTCGCCCCCCCCCCCCCCCCCCGTCTTCCGTGAGGCTGGGTCTAACAACGTTTTAATCAATTCTCCGCAGAGTTCGCGAGTCACCGCGCCAGATAGGCTCATTACGGCGACCCCAAATAAATATAAACAGTAGCAAAGGGGACGGCCCCACTATTAGCGTTATTCACACGCGCCGCTAGATCCATAAATAAGAGCCAACTACGACCCTCGAAACGGGCGGACGCGTCGGGGCGCGAAAGTGACTCGAAATCGTGCGTCGTTGAATTCGCCTCGTTTATTTCGTTGTTTAAACCGGCATTAGGTTATTTGGCGCTCGGCGATAGGCGCCCAGCCCGAGGCGCCGCGACGGTCCGCCGCGGTGCCAAGTCGACGTCCCGCCTCCCTGGCTGCGCTGCCGTGGCCTAAGCGAGGTGCTTCCACCATTTTCCGCCTCATAAAGCCCACGCGGTGGCGAGACAAGCGCGCCGTGAACACTCGCTTGTCTACGGTGGAGTCCGCCCTGCCGCAACTAAAGACGACGCGCTGGGCGCTTTACAGTCCCGGCCAAACGGCGCCCACTAATAAAGAAGAGCCGGTGCGTTCTCATCCGATGATCCCGCTTCGAATTTGCTCGCTTTGTGTGCGCAAACATTTACTTTATCTTCTAGAAAAAAGACTATGTGATATAGCCTTATCGTAGAATACGTAAAAATTTAAAAGTTATCTCTATCATAACATAACGATGGCTGAGATCTGTATTGTCCCAATGCCTAGGGACCTCTATACGAGATTTAGGATAAGGTCTACTATTATGGATGCGAATCACAAAACCTTTTTTTTTTTTTTGTAACGTTCTTGTTAGACTTGAGTTTATATAAAATTTAAGTAACTGTGCGTAATGCAATTGACTTTATTACCTAGCACAAGTTTTGCAAGGCGATCTTTGGAATAGCATATGCCTATGCAGCGTAGAACTTGACACTGAGTCTTCTCGTATATTGGAGCGAGTTTTTCTTTAGCATGCGAGCTAACATATATAAAAGAGAGGTTAGACCATTATTTACTGGTAGGCTCAAATAACAGCTGGTAAATGGTCGAAGCGCCGCACTTTAGCGAACGTTAAATTCAAAACACGAAGAAAATAGCCCACCGTCTTGAAACGATCACTAAAAAGGTGTAGAATTCCTTCCTTAGTATGTAGCGCCGATACCCATCGCAGATAAGCCGTGTGGGTATTAAATATTACACTGTATTCCCTTGCAATAGTAATATATAGTAACGAATTGTAAATTAGCCCGAAAGGTGGCCGGTGGTGGGCAGTTGCGGTTTATCAAGTGGAAAAAATCAATGGCCGTTTCGAAATTTGTTTTAATAAAACATCACCGTTTTGGTGCGTTGAACATGTTTATTCAAAGCTCGTTCTTTTATGGCGATATCATCGCGTATATTCAAATGATTGAGCCATTAGTTTGTGACTGTATTAAAAGTTATAAAATTGTTGCCGTATTATAACTTTAAGGGTAGATTTATAGCGACTTAAGTTCAATTCGATTATTATGTTTATTTATTCGATAGCGTCTAAGACGGGTCAGGCCCAATTCTTAAAGAATTTACTTGAATTTTCCTTCGGATTACTTATACGTCCTCATTTGACCATATTAGTGCAAGCGCATCAACCTCCTTTATTTTGGAGGCCTATTTAAATGTTATTTAAGTGACAGTCAACAATTATTATAATATCATTATAATAGCAGTAATACAAAGTGAGTACCCTGTTCATTCGGGCTAAGAAGAGCTCGAAAACTAGGAATAGCGTAAAATAAAAAAAGACCCGGACACACGCCCGGAATTATTCATGCCATAAAATAATAACGATACTCAGCACGACTAGCGAAATCCTAAAGTGAATTGTAGCGAGTGGGAAAAAAAGAATGGCTCTAAGTGGATAAAGAGCGAATACAAACGAAAAAGTCATTTCATGCCGCGTGGCGGTGACGCGGGTGCTGTCCGACAGGGCACTCCGTGGCCTGAGCCATAAGAGTTAAGGGTCAAATTCGCGAGACAAGCCGAAAACGTGGCTAAACCCAATAAAGCTTTTCCCCCAAATAAGCCATAAAACGAGCAACGGGCTCGCTCCGGGTAGGTATGCTCCCGTTCCAATTATTTGTTTGCGGAGGCGCAATAATTTTATTTTACGTTTTATTTAACATTTATACCGTTACGGCAATTTCACGGGTATCAGAGAATTGCTAGGTTGCGATTTAAACGGAATTGCTTATTTTCCACTTCGGTCGCATTGCTTCGGCCCGACCCGCTCTGAGCATCGGGCGATATTATTACGTTGAGGCTATTAAGAGTTGAGTCCGTCGCGGCATCGCCCGTCACGGCGCAACGGCTAATCGACGGATCCATTGGTCAGAGCCAGTCAGCCCAGTATTGTTTCAGATAGTCCATTTGATTGTCCTCGAACAATCTTTATGACGGCGCAATTTACGGCGTCACGCGCGGGATTAAACGCAATATGCAGGTGTATCGGTTTCGGCGCCGCTCGAGCACGTCGCGACGGCGCGTCGCGTCCGCCGCCCGTAAATAAATAAACAATAAAGTGGGATTGAACAAGTCAATTGGAGCTCAGACGCAGACAATGTGCGGTCGCGTTTAATTGCCGCGCCCGAATGCTTCGACCGCTGCCGTAACTCAATGATCGTAAACGCTCGCAATGATATCAATTAGACGGGGCCCCGGGACGATAAAGTTCCGCTTTAATTAGGAGAACAAACAGCAGACGGTCTTTAATGAGGCGCGCGTGTAGGGCGAGAGAGGTGATTAGGCCGGGGAGGGTGATCGATTATCGAGGGCCCCGTGATTGATTCGGCCGCGGCGACCGCCCGCGCACAATCCGCGCGGACAAAATCGCGTATCTTCGCGCGTATCTATCGAAAGACTGACGGACGCGCTCGTTTAAAATCAATCGAAACGTCGCCGATTCGACTTTATAGGCCGTTTCCGTGGGCTTATCGAGTTCATCTGATGGCTCGCTAATGGGCTTCATCGGAGGGTCGAGTGCAGCTGAAAAGCGAACGTTGCGACGTATAAATTACTCACAAAATGAGCGACATTAAAAACCATTTTGGGGCAATAACTATTCCGCCGTGGTTATAAGCGTAGTGAATAAATTACGCGTATTATTTTGATACAGGAGCGAGTGTTAGAGGTGTCAGTGTTAATGGCGGGCAGGGGAGGTCGGGGCGGCGAGGACAATGCGCCCCCGGGGCGCTTTTGTTGCCGCGGATTCCCTGCCCGTGACATCTGTCCGAATTGCTACAATAACTCGCCGAAAAAAAGAGCAGCAACTCTCTCCGAATCCGCTGCGGAGCTTCACTTCTATACTCTCCAGCGGCCGTACAATGTAAAGTGCATCGGGTGGGACGTCTTCATTGGCGTCATTGTTGTCGGTGACGTGTCATTTATTCGACGCCGAATTAGGGAGCCCGTTGCCCCGGTGGTCCTGGCGTTGCGAGCAACCGTGTCACAATATTATAAACGGCGTTAAATTTTGCCATTTCGAGCCGACTGTTCGCTCGTTTTTTGTGCCCGCGTAATACGTATTATTCTCTCGAAATTACCTCACCGGGGGGTATACGAACAATTCGATGCGACGTAATGTAATAGATTTTAAGGATTCAACATCATAACTCAACGGCAGATCTTTAATCGGATATAAATTAATGCATAGTAGCCATTTAGGCAGCCAATTTCCTTTTATTAAACGTAAATAGGGCTTTTAGACATTAATTTATATAGAGGTAAACGCGGAGGACATCATTAGATACGTTGTGACAGATACGTATTTATCTTGTAACTGAAGTGCGTCAACTTGACAATTAAAATAATGTCAAGTCGTATTTCATCGAGCAGATATCAAGATTTCAAGCTAAACTGATTTAAGCAAAATGTCTTCGGAAAGATTTGAAATCACCGAAAAACGGCGTATTCGTCATTAGATCAGCGTGTAATCAGTAACAAGGCGGTTCATTTCTCTTCACGTTATTTATTTTTCAATTTTCAATATAAATTATGGCTTGAAGACGTTATCTTCGGATCGCGATCTCGTTCGTATGAAACTGACACGTCTTCTTAATTGGACCGGTTTAATTGCAAACAAATGCTTATAAAACATGACTTACCTCCATTTAGTGAGACGTAATGCAGAATGCAAGTTAGAAAGTGTTTGTGATAATTAACACGGCATAAAATCACCCCGGCCCAGTTAATTCGTGTATACATAGGTACTGTACGAGCCATTGCTTAATTGGTTGTATAAAAATGGACATGCAGTTCTGTTTGAGCCGTGAAAATATGTTTCTGGGTTCAATATAATATAATGAATAATTTCAATCTTTATTTAGTCATTATTTTATACAAACTAGTGATCGTTTAATATTACCATATATAATCATATTATCATACATATCATATTATCATATATAAGTATAATTTATATATGATAGCGTGTGTAAGGTTTTTTTTATTGATTTAATGTACTTTTTGGAAGTGTGGGAAATTTCATACACTCCGTCCATGCAATTTTCGTAAAAAGGGGTAGAAAGTTTTTGCTTCACGTATTAATATATAGATTATCATTCACCCATGCTATATCGCTACATCTTCTAAATTTATTGAGACAAACCTCAAGTAAAACAGTATACGCTAAATAAGCGAACGTTACGTATATAATCTCGTAGTTAGTTATTATAAAATAAAAGTTTCTCCACATATTTGTTAAAAGTTAACTCACTATACGCTTACTATACGAAACATTTGTTTTTCTTTTCTAAACAAACATCATTGCCGTAATAGGGAGACGTCGTAATTACCACGTCCGGCGAGAGTAGTGCAAACTTTTTAACAAGTTTTTCCAAACACCTCAAGCGTTGCGGCCTGTTATTAACCTCAGTAGGGTCTGGGAGGTACAGTTATTTTTTAAGTGAATAGTTGTCAAGAGAGCAGACTGTTCACCAGATATTAAGTGATAACCGCCGCCCGTGACCGTCTACAACAACCTGAGGGGTTGCAGAGGCGTTGCCAACATTTTGCCATTTGCCAACATTTGACAACATGGGTCCCGGTTACACTCACCAGACAAAGAGGGAAAGTACATACTTATACTTCACGCCGATCTTCTATGAGGCCGTGGTAATTCCCTGGACGAGCCTGCCCTTTTCTGCAACAGCAGAAGCTGTAGTGTGGAACTACAAAAGTTAGTGGCCTCCGAAGGTCAGCCTGCCAACCACCGGTATCCACATGTTTGTCGCTTATTAGTACGTAGGCCTTTAATTTAGTAGATATGCTCGCGTAACATGAATTCTTAAACCGTTGCAAGCTCCAATAAAAGCGTTATTTCCAATTTTAAGTTCTGCAATACACGTTAAAAACATCGTGAAATCTCACACATTTACGAGATAATAGCAAGGAAAAATCGAGTTGTTTGGTGGACTATGCCCCAATACTCTTAGTGCTAAGAAGGCCATTGCCCAGCAGTGGGATGTATATAGGCTGTTACTTTACTTCAATATACTATATAATTAAACAGAGACTAGCAAATAGAGACTATTCCTAAGTGGGGATCGAGCCAACACTATTAATGAAGACCAACTTCAACCCAAAACAGGACCGAAATTGAATCGACACCTCGTTTTTTCCCGCTAATGCGCGACGCTCCGTCCGGGTCGAGTCGGGGGACAATTAAGAGTTGGTCGGGTTTTTTCCCTTCGCCTTCCGGACGAGACGCCGATCAGAATGGGCGCCTTCTGGCCGAAGATCGCCCGTTGAACGTTGCGTCTGATCTAATTGTTTATTTCAAGACACATCCGGTAGGCCCGAAGCGCTCGATTGCGTTTAGGCCTCCCTTTCAGCCAACCCCGCTCAACCAATAAATCTTAAATGGGGTCCGATGCCCAATACCCTATGTTTCGGGCCCAGCGTAGGGATGTAAAGATTCCGCGGCGCGATTGAACTAGTGGCGGCCTACACGATATTTTATAGCAGATAGCCTTCTCTAACGAGAGCTTACATTATCGCTTTTCATCGGGCTCTCTCAGACGTGAATAACCAGCTACTAAAGATATCCAGGACGGGAAAGAGTATTCTAGATAACTCATTAAAGATATTGCTAATAGACTGTTATGTGTAGAAATTACAAAGAGCTGATCGTAATAAATTGTAAAAAAATTTGTGTCCTGTAAAGTTAAAACTTCTTTAGCTCTTCAAAAGTCCACGTCAAATCTAGATTATACAAAAACCCCTTCGTCATACGCAGGATAAGTAAGACATATATCAGTCGGGAAAATAACAATTAGCAACCCCAACTTCTAACCCAAGACGTTCGAATGCGCAATAATTGAGTCCACCACTGACAGCGGCAGTCGGGGCGTCGGTCATCGGCGCGGCCACCGAATCGACGTCGCGGCGCGTGTTCAAACAATAGTAAACGCATTTGCGCCGGCCATTGTGTGATTTATGGCGCGGCCGTGTTGGTAATTTATAAGAGGCGGCCGCCGGGGCGCCGGACGCGGCGGGACGCCGGGAAATCGGGGGAAAGCCCGGAGATTTATTGGCGGAGGCGGCGGCGGCGCGGGCGCGGCTCACCGCCACCGCACTGTTTGCCCGCTAATTAAAGTCGGCCGAATGCTTAGCGAGGAGGAGTCTGTTTGCGGTGCGATCGACGTGTCCCAGGTGAGAGCGACGCCGCTCGCCCTCGGATGGGTGACCGCGACGCGGGCGCATATCGCGTGAACATGGCCGACCGATAACGGCGCGGAATTGTGGGGATATCGCTGTGCAAACACGCGCGTTGTCAATCATGGCGAGGCGGCGCGTTACAACATTTTATCGGTTGTCACATAATCTAAGTATAACGCATTTACGTCAAATCGCCGATGTACCCGCCGATAAGCCCACCCACGTTATTCCGTTGGATCATGGGACCGACGGCGGTTGGTATTTTGTATGTAATGTTTGGTTTAGGTAACGCGCGCGCCCGGCAATACAGACTTGTATGAAGCCCGCGCTACAATGATAGAACCAATGATTTCTTTGCCTTAATTAACTTTGAACGGCATTAGTGTCATTCATTTTCAAAGTAATTTTTTCTCGAATACTCAACATCGTGGAATTCTTACATTACTACATTCTTACATTAATGCGTACTTTAGCGTCTGTTTTCTTCAATATATACTACGATAGGATTGTAGATGTAATTTGTTCTAATCGAATATTTTTTGATTGGATTTTCATTGATTGCAATACTTTCTGCTTAAATTAAATCATTAGATAAATTAATAGAAAAAATTAACTAACTTAGGTGCAAGTTTTTCGAACAGGAAACTTATATAAAAAAAATACTTCTTTATTTGCGAGTAAGTCATTTGTTCTTTTATTGTAGCTTCTTTTACGAAACTTTGTGCTGCACTTGTCACATGAAAATGTTCACTTAATGTTTACTTACGATTCCTATCTAACGAAACCTGAAGGCAATGCTTTGAAACGGAAAGAAAATAGTCGGCAATATGGGTCTCTACTTATGACGAGTTGCTGACAAAAGTGGTCCGACATCCACTTTTGTTTTGTTGCAAATGAAATCACCACATTTGTTCATCACCATCATCCACTTTTGTTTTCTTGCTTCTTTTTTCAGAAATAACATTAAAATGTCGCTTGAAACCCAAAGAAGGCTGACTATTAATTATTACGCTCACTGTTGTGTGGCTAGAGCGTTGGAAGAAGTTCGAGTTAAGTTCTTCGCTACGATAACACTTCCTCGTATAATAAAATCACAAATGCCTATTAGACGACCTGGAATGTAGATATCGCACCTGTGTGAGTTCTTTTAATTTGGGAAATTCGAATATAAGCTTAGAGATTCTCGTTTTACAAGCCAGGAAGCGGCGGTGAATGAAGAACGAAGTCATCGAGGAGGTTTTATTCTTAACCGGATCCGTTGTTTCACACAATGGTTCCAAGAGATGCCAAATATACTTATCAATAGTGACAATAATAAATCGTAAAACGATAAATATATCTTTCAATTAATCTGTTCTTATTAAAAAAATCCAGAAACCTTCATTATGGCCTAATTATACAACAAGTGTAAAACGAAGCAACCACTGAAGACGTTTTCTACGTTACTAACGTAAACATGCCAATAGCTGAAGTTAGTATCCTGACAACTATTACTCAAATAACGTTAAAAAAATTACGAGCGTTGCGTTATTTAAAATAATTTAACCGTAATATTAAAATAATAATTACCTAATATTCTACCGTTATTCCTTTAATTGAAGAATAATGTATTCACTAACCCCATGTTTTAGTTATCGTTTAGAAAGCGACTGCGGGGTTTGATCCATTAGTGATTAAGCGATAATTGGCTTATTAAGTTACTCGGAGGTCAATTCTGACGGCGCACCTGCCGAATACCAATCGATTTTATATCGCTTATAATGAATCAAACTACTTGTGTACATACGTCGAGATCGGTCTGTAAATTTCAAGACCTTACTTTCGGGATAGTTACTTTGGATTTGGACCATCAAACGGATAGAGTTGAAAGTCAATTTATGTTGAAACGCCCGCCTCCGTCATGCAAATGCATCTTTCGCATTTACATAGAGTGATGATGGCCCTTTGACGAGATCGTCGAGCTGACTGAAAGTTAAATTCGGAAAGAGAATTAAGTTCTATCCAGGACGGACAAAGGCCGCTCTCGGCCAATTTTAGTGATGTGCTACAGGTGTCAATCAAAGACCGACGTGTGGAGCACTGGCGACTTGATCAAAGTTAGAATATGCATGTGCTTTAATTAATTTGGAAAACGTCCTATTTTTTGGGAGTGAAAATTTTTTTAGTGCACTTTTTGAATGAACAAAAATCATGGAACTCGCTTCGTCGTCACCGAACCCTTTTTCTTCATATAGATATTAATTATTTTTAAATTAAAAATAATTATTGACAATTATTTTAACATAATAATTGTCTTATTTACAAATAAATATATTAAATATTGTTAACTCACTTAGTTTTCACGTCTATCGGCACTACCCAAAAACTGCCCCGTTTTTTTATTGATTTTATGATTCGATCAAACGATTATTTCCTCCCTTTGCAAGAATTTTTTTAAATGATGTCAGAAATGAATGAAGAAATTGAGAAGTTGCGACTTCCGCTGAAGAGAACTTGATATTAATTATTTGTGCGCTTCGTATCATACATCCTTTTACGACAAATTTTAATGTTGCATCTTAAGTGCAGAGATTAGTACATTAAAAAAATTCAAAAATGTGACTTAGATTCCAAATTAGGTGATATTAACCCAAACACAAATATTCCAACTTCTGTCCACAATGTTCCTAGTTGTTATATATTTTTGTATAGCAAAAGTGATGACGCGATGAGCACCATCGATGGATATTTGTAGAGTCAAAGCCTACCACATTAATAGTTGTTCTGTATCATCCTAAAAGCAGCTTAAGCGGTGGGGATTAAAATTACGTCAATCCTCCTTCTGACGTATGCTCCACGATATCAGCGAATTTTAGCAGACAATGAATTATAGGATAACCTAAATACACACACAATGCCTATCTTAGCTAAGCCAACTCCATTGTTTGGTGAATCTGAAGCTGTCACTATGATAATACTGTAAGATCATTTTCTCATGGATACTTATATAAAATATCACAGGTCTTAATTTCTATGTGAGAAGTATACAAGTAAGCATGGTATTAAGTGATTGGCATCTACAGATGCGTTGTGATCCATTCAAAATTGGTCCCGCACTTGAATTCATATAGATATTAATTATTTTTTAATTAAAAATAATTATTGACAAAACTCGTACACACGTACACGAAACGCTTACGCTCTTCTATAAGTTTGTGGTCGTTCCCCGGACGAACCTGACTGTTCGTGCAACAGCGGGATCCGCTACATCGCCCTACCGCAGTTAAATATATTATTCTATAACCCTTCTTTCATTTTAGGAAGATGGCTAGCGAGCTGGCGGTTCGCCTGATATTAAGTGATTACTGCCTCGCTCCAACACCTGCGTGAATGCAGTTACGTCTCCAGCCTTTACGAGACTGGGCCCGGTTGACCTCAACCTATAAAAGAAACGCAGAAGTATAATACTTCCACTTCAGCCTGCAATTCTATGATATCAACATATTCAGCAGATTATTAATATATTATATCAATATTATTCAGCATGGTAGCAGATTCCAGCAGAGCGCATCAATGACGTTGACGTATATTTGCCCTCGGAGTACCTACGGTCGTAAACTCTTTTTTTGAGCTTATTTAGCCCCAAATTTAGCCGATGAACATTAAAATAATCTATACATTTTTTATCATTATTATTATTACACACACGATCGCAACACTTACGAAATAATATAAGCAGAAAGAACTTGTCAAAGATTTTCGTTGTCAAAGATGAAGAAAGCGTGAAATGGATTCATTTTTTGTTCAAATTCATAAAAAAAATCACCAACGTAAATATTATCCCCCGTCGTAATCTTAAGCGCAGTCTAAACATATCCAATCCTTATTTAAATAAACGCCCAAACTTTCTGAACGTGTCGCAACGGTTTGAATAGTTAACAGAAATTAGGAGCTCGGCCCCCCGCACCACGCGGTTCGATTATGGTCCTTAAAGCGCCTCGTTAAGGTCGCTTTCCCCTTTACGGGGTATTTAAAACTCTTCCCTCCTTTCTCCCGTTCCGACTAATTAGAAAGGAAATAAAATAAACCTGGTCATTACTCAGAGCAAGGTCGCAACTGGTTAATTAATTGGCGAAAGAGGGATGGTGGTCGCGTATTGGATGGCGCCGTGTGCACTAAATACCGTCGCGGACCTTTACGAGGCGGTGAGAGGACTCATTTGAATAACACAATGAAAAGCATTCTTTTAAACAATTACTCACAGTTGCACTATAGCATATTAATAGCGTAAGTGGCTGATTTTCATAATTGAATGAATGATTAGCCCAGACTAAATTGTTAAATATTTAATTATTTTGACAATACTAGAACAGCGTAATTTAAATATACTAAGAGTAGATTCCATAATTTGCATATAAGCGTTAGGTGTCTTGGGTCACATATACCTAATATGTGACCCAAGACCATTCGATACCAAGGCGCCCAAAGCTTCACTTTTCAAAAGTAATGCACTAACACTAACGGTTCGTTTATAACAAGCGAACGGGAGCACGGGCTGCGCGGGTCCCTACCCTGAATGCGTCGGCCGAGATCGAAACTGATTAATCGTCGTGGCCGCTATTGTTGTTCGCCCGATATAAAATTGACAATTAGATCGGTGCCCGGGCCGGGCTGATTAACGCGCAAAACGACCATCACGGACGGACCACCCACCGGGAGTGGACGGCTTAATAAGACCCTCATTAACACCTTAATGGCCATTCTCAATTCGCCCGATACCGTTCGACTTTTATTTCGTCCCCGACGAGCCGGCCCGCGAGACTCCGCGCTGCCGCACGCCCGTCTCTAATTGAATTTCTGCTCTCCTTTTTTCTAAACCCACTCGCCCCCCGATTCGAGATTAGTGATGTATTTAAATTGGCGTTTTGTTACGTTTTTGTAGTCGGCTAGGGCCGCCCCCACCCCCCGCGCCCACGCTGGCCTCCGTTATCGAAACTTTTAATTTAGTCGCGATAATCGAACGAGTGGGGCCTTCTTGCGCGCCGATACTCCGAATGAGACATCAATGCCTCTGTCTTCTTAATGATGCCTTTTATCTCGCCGGGCATTCGGTGCCCTAAATCAGTTTTTGATGCTGCTTTTTAAAGGGCACTCCACGTCCGGCCCACCGGTTTTTACGAGCAGTTAAATGCCGTAGGACATTTAATAGGTACGTTAAACAATATATTGGAAACGGAAGTGTGCTCACGCACTTTGTCCAATTTATTTAAATTGATGTATTAAAAGAAAATATAACAAGTTATCTGAATGAATAAGGGACACAAGAAAAAATATTTCCCCTTAATATTTGAGATTAAACGAAGCCTAAATTTAACCACATACATTTGTAAGACATAAACATCAATGAGTCGTGAACTGCGACTGCGAGAATAATACGAGCGATCATCGCGAAACAAAATGGTGTAACTTATCATTATAACGAGACACAAAAAGAAATGCAGCCCGCTTCCCTCTCCTAACTTATAACAGACGGACAAAAGCACTCACAGAATCTCCTCCTTGCGCATTAGCGGGGATTAATTTCGGATGTTGCCGCCGTATGTCCATCAATGGGCTGTTACGTCGGGGATAAGTCCACGGTAGGTTTCCGTTCGCAATAAACGGCCGAGAGATTGCGCGAGACGGCTCACATGCGACCGCCGCGGCGACGAAAGATTTTATGCCTCCCCTCCGGGCATTCACCACACGAACAAATGGACTAGATATGACGAACTCGGGAAAAAGCGCGCAGCTCCACTCTTTTAATTGAAAACATGTCTCCCGATAATGGAAGTTGTACGCATTATACAAGTACACGCGTTGTACATAAACATCGTGATATCTGTAATCAGTCGCGCCCATTATCATCGATACCGATCTAAATCTAATGTTGCCGTCATATCACTAAAAAGCTTTTGATAAAATTAATTTGAACTCGTCGTTTTGTGTCCGATAATTTCGTTACGACGTTAGTCTCCACTAGTAGTGGTTTGCGCTGTATTATTGATGTACTAATGGCGTTACAGAAGAACTGGTCATGTACTATAACGCGTCGGTGCTGGACAACTTTTCAATGAAATAACCGCCGGAGCAGTTGGCTACAGAACCAAAGGTAATATTAATACAAAACGTTTAATTCAATCCGTCCGCGTGTCCAACGCCATTTGCTTGATTTATCAGCAATATTTCGGTGAACATTCCGTCATAACGCACAGTTTTCTCGGCTGGCTCGGCGTCAATAGCCATTAAAATACGAGTTGAAAACGATGTCACCGAACATTCGAATATAAATCAACAACCGTGCTGTCCGGCATTTAAGAATAAAAAAAAATATTATTAACATCAAAAAGTAATTTAAACGTCTACGGTAATTTCACAGCTACTGAATCATAACACGGCGTGTCGACAACGCGGTCGCAAAAACGATACCTTTTTATTGATTATCAAAAGCTCACAATAGATACAAGATGGCGCTGCTTGTATTGTCGCTTGGTTCGAACAGACGGCGCCACCGGAGTCGCTGCTTTACTAAAATGGCAGTTGAATATTTTTACCCGCAATGGCATCGCGGCTGCTCATTCGAAATTGAGCCTTGTGGCGCACGCCCATCGTCCCTTTTCGAACGGGAACGGTGAAGACTTACGAATCCGGAGACATCGTGTGTATTTGCGGTGGAGCTCCGTCATTGTTCGCTAAATTGTCGCTTGCACGGAACCGGCCAGGCTTGTCGTGAGTTAGGTACGAGCGCACTGCACACAATGACAGTATACATACATTTAAACACCTGTTATTAAACATGCACAGGGTCACAGAGGGAACGTACCTACTGCAAATCTCGTTAAATGAAATGACTGATAAAGATCTTGCCATGGGCGCATCCATGACTGTAACGCGACGAAGTATCACGCAAATAATTAGCATTCGCGCGGTTTCGTATTCAACGCTAAGCAAAAATTGGAAACGTCATAAAACTCTACATACAATAACGATCACAAATCGAAGAACCTACAAGAAACACCAAGTGTACGCGAGTGAGCCAATCCAATAATAAAGAAACGCGAAAATGTCTGTCGGAGCGTTCAAAACCGTAGATTAAGTCGGTGAGCTTCCTCTTAACACTTGAAAGAAACGGATCATCTTCCTTTCAATGGGATTTTCTGGGCTTAAAGGATTTCACATGTGGCCCGTGTTAGACGTTCGATGCTTATGATCGGCGTGTCACCGAATCGCCTTTCGAACAGCGCGGCTCTATTCGATTTTTCGCTCGGGCGCGGATTGTTGCGGTCGAGGGGCCGTGAGTACTTTGCTTCTGCGATCCCTTATAAGGATTAAACGGCCCCACGACCGCTCATTTGTTCGCCTTGTGCCAGACAAGGTGCTAAACAGGCGCGCTCGGTGGAGCCGCTCACGGTTTAACCGCAACGCACCCGATGCGCGGCATTAGACGAATTTCCACACCACAGAAAAAGGCTCCGCTGAGAAGCACGCAGCGCGTCAATTCGTGTTACGTCGAAACGTAATTGCGGTAAGAATAGCGGCCGCCTTTCGGATTCATTTTTCGTGTTTCAATATTAATGTTTCGTGACAGGGCGGCGACTCGGCCCTGCGAGGCGTCGGAGGTTTTCTGGCCCATCGCACACGGACCGGTTCGCCGGTGGCTCGCACGCCACGCCAGGAAAGCGAAACGCGCCGCGTCCCGGCCGACTGCGATAAACGTGCGCATCGAATACTAACAAATGGCGAACGGCGCATCGGTGCTAATTGGCGGCCTCTCGTCCCTCCGCACCAGTCGAAACGAAAATATCTAATGCGCCGCCCAAGACGAGCTCGGCACTCGCGGGCTACACGGACTAACGCCGCCGTGACTATCAATCAAGTCGCGGGTTTCGCGGTGGATTTATCAATCATCAGTGGATCAGGCCTGGGACGTTCTGACCGAGGAGTGTACACCGGCGCGTGTACTGCAATACGTACCAGCGGCGAGTAGAAGGCGGAGCTGTCGACGCCGATGCTCGGGTAGGGGTTCTGGTCGGAGGACGGGTAGGGCGCGCCGTACACGCCGACGGCGCTGGAGAGGCGCGGGTAGGAGGTGAGGGCGAGCCGGGCGTCGTACTGGCACGAGCAGACCGTCTGCCCGGACACCGGGTCGGTGATGATGGGGCGCGGCGTGTCGCAGCAGGGCGCCGCCGGGGTGCTGGCGTGGCTGCCCGCGCCGGGCGACAGCGCGCCGCCGGCGACGCCCGACCCGCCAGGCGACAGCGGCGCCGCCGAGCTCGAGCCGCCGTCGGGCGACGTTGCCGCCCCGCCGTTGCCACTGCCCGCGCCGACCAGCAGCTGAGGGCGAACGCAGAGCGTCAGGAAGCGTCGCACCCAAGTACGACTAACGTGGGAGTTCTGGGGATTTGGGTGCTGAGTTCCCGACCACTTCTTAGACTACAAAACGGGTTGGGTCTGCCCTTTTACGTTTTTAGTGTATAGAACAATATACCTTATCATTACATTAGCACTAGTTTGTAATAAAAATCTGAAATTCTTCCCATTTCAAACATATGAAAACCAAACCATGGATATCTCTGATAAGGAACCCCTAACTTTTATTAAGTGTTTAAAATATGTAATTATCATTTTAGTAATCTTTCGACTAATATTGCAAATGTTTATATAGAGTATTGTAAGATATTGGATAAGAATATATCTATAATATAATGTACACATTAATTTTTATTTAACTAATTAAATTATGTCCTTATCGTAAAAATAATCATCTGTTGATAAATAATTGAAATAATTTTCATGTGAACATAATAACATTCAGCTCTTAAAGATAATAAGATAACTTAACATACATTAGACTAACACAGACAACCGTGCAAAATTAATATAAAAATAATGACGAGGAATACTTGTATATGATTTCTTGGAAGAAAATTACAATTTGATTATGAAAAATATGCTAATATTTCCTCGTATCGAATATATGGTGATGTACGATACTTTCTGACAGATTTGTAAAAATAAGTACACACTTCATATTGGAAGTATCCATGATAGTTTTGTTATTGATAGTTATGTTTGTTATTCCGTTTCTTGCAGCTCTCCAATAAGAAGCAACTATTTAGTAAATTATTAACCTGTGTTATACGTAATTTCAGGTCATCTTGGAACCATAAACAAAAAAGTTTCTATGTTATACAAAAGTTTTAACATATTATAACTAAAGTATTTAAAGTGCTAATGTGCACTGTTTTCGCATTTTAAGTCACTGAGTCGCCATACGGATAATTGGACTGAACTTAGATTGGTTCCCGCGAGAAGCTGGGCCAAGCGAGATAATATTTCATTCAAATAGATTCAGTGAACAGTTTACTAGAACTTTCCATCACATCTCTAGAAGTCGCTACAAAAAATCCAATTTCGTATCCTATTATTTACACTTCAGCAGCGAATGGGTGCTTTTATGATAAATTTAGAAGGATGAATGAAGGTGAACGACTTTACGATTTTAACGGTGAATTATATTGCGATAGTCAAATGTATTGTCTTAAAGTGGTCGGAGAGAGAGGGAGGGGGGGGGGGGGGGGAGCGATAACTCACTCCGCGATAAGCGGCGATCGGCAAAAAGCAAGCGCACTAACGGGCGATCATCGTCAAAGGCTCGCAAATGAGTGTTTCACCTACGCCCCACCGCGCCCATAAAAATACACAGGTTACACAACTCCAAGTGCACTCCATGATATATATCGCCTGTTAGCGGCGTAAACAACTCCGCCAAGCGAGGCATTGTACCCGTTACCGCTGCGAAGCCGGCACGGAGTCGCAACCGACGCGATCCGCGCCAAAGCTCGCACGAATGCCGTGCGAAATGCGATATGATGCGCTCTTTACACGTACCTACGCGTCACCCCCTTCGGTTGCCGTGGGATGCCCGGCGCACGGCAATGTCGGCGATAAACATGTCCGATGTTGACTAGAAAAACCGCGCGCCGCACTCGAGCTGTCCGCTTGGGCCGTCCGTAATGCGAGCGGTGACCTTTTTGCGCGGGAACTCTTAATAAGTTGTTTACGCCGATACGCCGGCCGAGGGACCTGACCCGGCCATTAGTTGCGTACGTGGCGGAAATAACTCTCGAGCGTCGCCAGACCTTCGATTCAACAACCCACACAAATTTAACTACTTATTCGTGAGTGTTAAATATTAATGTGTTCAGATTCAGATGGTTGAGTTATGAAAAATAAATGTAAAAGTGTTCTACTTACTAAGAGATACTTATGCGTTTTGTGGTGGTTGGTTGGGATGCCAGCTACGTTTTAGAATCGAAATTCTTTAAATAGTTAAAACTAGATAATTATCTGAACAATATATTTGATTGCAACTACCAGGCTTAACCGACTTTCATCACAGACTTCGCAGGTGGCGAAAAAAATTTCTTTCCCCGTCCATCCACCTATTCAAATACTTCGCTACTACATTCGCTATTTTAAAAAACAACCGAAAACAGACAACGTTCGTACCGGATCGCGTTTACGTTAATTGAACGATTGTGTATTGATAAATCCCAATAAAGGAGCCGTTCTAAAAACACCTAACAATCCATATCGCATGCATTATTTTAACGTCGAAACTTTTGTTTTAACTACCCCACCCACCCCTCCCCCTGGGGCCACCCTGTCGCAGCGAAAAGAGTGATAAAATTTGATTTACAGACGGCATCGTTTCTGCATAATGCCCCTATCTAAACGGCCGATCGGCGATAGACTGTCTACTTTGGCGGGCAGCACGCACAGCCGCCCGACTCCACGGCACCAGCTTGGTTCACGCGAGGCACGGTGGCATGTAATTCTATTGATCGGGAAATCGTATACGAGCCGACTGCTAATCCAATACGAAAGCTGTGCGCATTAACACCTTTTAGAAGCGGTGGCAGAGAATGTGCGATAGCTATCGGCATCGCCTCGGCGGATACGAGGTTGGTAGACCAACTGCGAGTCATCTGCCGTCAAAACTACCGTACTGTAGTATATACTATACTATTGCCTAACTTATTTTCGTTTTGCTTCTTACGAAGAAGGCAATTTCATTTAACACTGTGCAAACGAGTTGGCGTTTAACTCTAGTGCCAGTGGCGGGTTCTTACAAAACTTATGTTAATTGTATGAAAGTAAAAATTTATTTTTCCTCACAGTCAGTACTTTGGCCTTGAAGTAAGGTTAGTTAGGTGAAGTGGTGAAAGCTCAATGAGGTTCATAGTGGTGGACGACGCACATTATTAAATCCGTACCTTGATATACATTTTACCAACTATTTTCATAAATAAAAGCAAACTTTAATTTTGACATTAGATTTAAAAACATACCAAGTAACGCTGTAGATTACAACAGTGAAGTCAAAACAGAATTTCCCCACACAAACATTTATAACAAATTGCATTGACTAGGTGGACAACAAAAAGGGATCCCAGTCAACCCGTCGGCTTTGTCAATCATGAGTCAGGGCGCAGACGTTTTCATATTTCCTGTTTAATATAAATACGTCACTATGCAGACACGGGTATCGAGGTGTATGCTATTAGAAGAAGTGATAATCGCCTAACGGATCAAAGAGCTGACCATTTTGATATCTTGTTTCACCCACTTAATGCGTCCAAATTATTGTAAAATCACACTCACCCTCCCTATTCTCTGTTGTGTTACAACACGCGAATATTTAACATAAAGAGATCAAACGGATCTTTGCCTATGTCTTAGATGATCTATGTCTTAGATCTGTTGAGCGAATGTTTAAAAAAATGTCAAAGGGAAAACATACTAGGAAACATTTATGATCCTAATAGACATTAGAAAGTGCTGTGAAACTTTAAAATTGCAGTTTTATAATACGTGCACCATCGTTGATGACATCAAACGTAACGATGAGACGGAGTTGGAGAAAATTATGAGAGTAAAAATTTTATGATGCCCGCGCAAACCGACAGCGATATAATGAAGTTGGTTTCAAAGCGACTGACTTCGATCAATTTCACGATATTACCATGGCCACCAATAACAACTTTTTAGTTGTTTTTCTTTTGTTACGCTAAAGAAGTATCTTCTTAAACACAAACGTTTTTTTTTTTAATAAGATTTAAACAATGATGTTTTATAAAATAGATGACGCATGTCCATACTGCGCGGCGTTTACAAATTGTACCGCTTTACATTATATGACAAAAATATAAGTGAATGTTACAGATGATATAGAACTTATGCTATGGTAATAGCAATGTATAGAAATGAATAAAATTATAGAATTGTTGTAATTTGAGTGCCTTAATTTCGTTGTATTATCTTTAGTGTCATATCTTTGTATATAATATCATTGTGATTTAAGCAAACACAAATGCAACAAGATGCATTTTCTTTTACAAATGGCAATATCGTTATGTAAAGAATGCATATAGTGTAAGCATGTGTGTTGTTAATACAGTCGAAGGACACTTCAAGCGCGAATGTTTACCAATTGACCATCCACTTCATTGGAATGCAAGACCAACACGTAGACTAAAACAAGGAAAAATCTATTTAAAAGATAAAAAAGTCTAAAGTTTACAATATCTAAAGTTAGTTTATTACAATATCTATCTATTACAATATATAAGTTAGTTTATTACATTAGTTATTACAATATCTAAAGTTAGTAAAGTTTTATACAAGATCTAACAAACGCTCCTTCAACGACTCAATTTCATAATAGAAATAATCAATGGAAAGAGTGAAATATCCAATGGCTATGGCAGGCAAGTGGACACTGAAAATCGATAAGCAATCTCAGTAAAATAATAAACAAGATTATCCAATGAAAACCGTTGGGGGCTCCGAGTGATACAACTTTCACGAGTGCGCCCGCCCGCTATATCTTTAAAGTAAATACGAATACGTTGTGTATTGAATTTACTCGGACGCGGTTCGAGCGGCGAAAGATTAAAGGGCCGCGGAGAGGTCCGTGGTACGTCAAAAGATTTGATCAAATATTGGAGCAAGGTTGACTTAGAAATAATAGCATAAGATACTGTGCACACACGACCCCACTTCAGCCGTTGACGCTCCGTTTGAGTGCACCAACTTGTTTTCTTTAAACAAAGCGAAGTTACGTCAAAGGGACAATCGTTTTAGACGTCCATTACGTCTAATACCAATTTTTCTCCTATTAGGTTAATGTGTAAATTAGCCGCATAAATGTAAGCTAAAATAATATCATTGTGTGCAATATTTACTTTTTCATAATCTCTCTAGGGTAATGTCGATTTAAGACCGTCACAGTTTTTTTAGTTATTTGTTTACTCGATGGCACCAATGCT